CCCCAAAACCCCAAAACCCCAAAACCCCAAAACCCCATATCAATAAACACGTTTATAAAATTAAAAATGCAAAGTAAAATGATACTTTTGGTGGCATTCCTAGCCGCCATTGTTATTTGTGAAGATCTTTACGATTCAAATTCACCAGTAAATCTGTTGAACAGGAAGAACTTTGACAAGAGAGTGACTAATAATAGGAAGAAAGGAATAACCATTGTCCACTTCTATAGCGCAGACGACGCTCATTCAGCAGCTATTAAGGATGAATACGAAAGTTTCACTAAGGACAACATGGGTATGTATAACCTCGGGGCTATTAATTGTGATGATAACTATGATATCTGTGAGAAGGAAGGGGTTACTGAATTCCCAGTATTCAGGATTTATCCTCAGTTCCCACTCCAGACTCAAGATTTGAAAGATGATAATTTCAATATGAAGAGGCTAAAGAAGAGAGCTTCTAAATTTATCCAAGACAAGGTCATTGAGATCACAGCTGTTAATCATGATACATTCATCAAGGACAACCCAGGGAAGGCAAAGGTGCTTTTATTCACAGATAAGAAGGGAGTTCCCACCATCTACAAGGCTTTGTCTTATAATTTCGAGAAAACTCTGTTCTTTGGTATCGTAAGGCCTGAGGAAACAAATCTGGTTAAGAAGTATAAAGCGAAGAATTACCCATCCATTTATCTAGTTCAGCCAGGAAAGAAACCCCTTAAGTTTAACGATGACATGAATTATTACAGTATTGCTAACTTTATCAATATCCATTCTGAGATTTTTGATTTTGGAGATGCTCCAGAAGCGGAACTCAAGAGTGCAGCCAGCAAGCCATGGATGAGCGAAAAATTGCCCCAGTTGTCACAGCAGAGTGCTAAAGATATCTGCTTTGGAAAAAAGGGACTCTGAGTGATTCTGCTTGCTAATGAGAGCCCTTCAGATATCCTCATCAACGATATATCTTTAGTAAGAGAAAAATTTAAAAGCAATATTGAGGGAAGAGGTCCAGAATTTTCTTTTATGTGGCTAGACGTCACTTTGCATCCTGAGTGGGCTAGCACATTTGGAGTTGATCAATTCCCTCAGGTTGTTGTACTCAAAAACGCATCGAAAAAGAAGTTCTCTCTCCACACAGAAGAGCTCGTTACTGAGTCTAGTCTCTCTTCATTATTAGAGAATATCAGCAGTGGGAATGGAAGATTTAAGAGAGTACCAGGAAATGAAGTTCCAGAATTAAAAAAGCTAGATAGTTAGTTTATTACTACACGTGTTAATCAATAAGTTTGTTCCGAAAGGGGTTTTGGGGTTTTGGGGTTTTGGGGTTTTGGGG